TCTCTCTCTCTCTCTCTCTCTCTCTCTCTCTCTCTCTCTGTGTATGTATAAATAATGGTATCCCTGTTTTGACATGCGTAACAAATAGATGCCCATTTGACTGTTTTTGAGTTCAGGGCATTGTACAAGTTGGAAAAATAACGTAATTCCTTAAGAGCAGACACATGTGATCCAAATCATGGGGACAGGATGATGCCCTTTCTGGGACCCACCCTCTGTTGCAGCCTTCCTTATCCATTGGCCATGCTAACTGGAGCTGAAGTCCAACACCACTGGAGGTTATCAGGTTACGGAAGGCTGTTTAAGCAATAATGTTGTGGGTGTTTCTGTAACTCCCAAGCTGTGGGAAGAGCTTCTTTAGAGTGACAACATCCCTCAGACTGTTAAGAATGTGCTAAGTTTGTCTCAGGGCCAGCAAAGGGAAGGAATGATGTTCCTTAGAGAAAGAAATAGGGAGTAAACCTGAGAAGCGTGATTTAATAAGATTGGATGATGGCAACTATAATTTAGCTCAACTTAATATCCACAAAGTACTAATTCCCCAGTTTGCAAGTACCCTGCCAGTGTTTCCCATTCGTCATGTGTCTAAGCCATGGATAGGAAGTGACTTACTTATGTTCACCCTAAGGTGGATAGGCATGTCAGGAGTGGAGCGGGCTGGAGCCGGGGGTCAGACTAGATGGCCCAGGAGGACTCTTCTGACTCGCTCTGTTTCTGTTTCCATGTTTCTCTTCTGAAGAGCAGGACAAAATGCATTTAATAAACAGACTGTGCCTCTTCCATAAATTCAGAGGTAAATTTTACCATGATCTCCACATATACCTTATCAGGGTGCTATTACTTCTGCTTCTCCCACAATCAGCCACACATACACACAGTTTTCTCTGCTTCTTTACCCAAGCACCCTCTTTTATCCTAGGATTCTCCAGGCCATTATCACTTTGTTGGTGGTGAACTTCGTATTTGGCAATGCTTTGTCTGTAAAGTCAGTTCTACTTCAGAAGCTTACTCACCCATGCCCCCTAGGGGAAAAATCCTGTGTGTGCAGCACTGCTGAATCGCAAAGGTTGTTGACATCTTTTTAGCCTTCTGTGCCTCAGGCTATGGCTGCGATAGACTACTGCCAAGGCCAGGCTGGCCAGGGATGGCGCAAGTTGTAATCCAGTACATCTGGAGGGCACCAGATTGGAGAAGACTGGCCTAAGCATTTGCTAAACAAGCCAAAGACTCAAACCGCTGTCCTTCCACAAGAGTTGCTAGACCACATAGACAAACATTGTTAAGGTCTTATGGCAAGAAAAGTACTTAGTTCTTTTTACCATGTAATTTTGAATGAATCCAAGAACAAGCCTTTGGATGTTGGTCAACCCTATTCCCGCAAAAGAAAAGGCATTGCCGGTCTCCCACACTCAAGCACATAAACTTTGTCAGAAAGAACACTCCAGACTTGCTGATGTCCTGAGGCCTGAGTTTCAAACTCCCACTTTTCTGACATTACGTTAAAAAAATAAAAGTCAGGACATATACTTTGCAAGGGCATTTCCCCCTTCCTTTTAGGGGGCTCTGTTAATCTTGAAGGTTAGATTTTATTAATGTTTTTGAGGTGCTGAATCTACATGATCTGATAAATGATGTAAACCAGGATCAATCCCAAATTAAGTGCAACAGCCACAAAAATCAAGGATGAACCTAATGAAAGCATTGTGGTAGATCATGCTCAGCTTAATGTAATCCCAGTTTGCTAACTAGGCCAAAATACTAGAGTCCAGGCACGGTGGCAGTTTCTGTAGCATCAAGGAGATGCCCTGAGAAACCTCTCACATGAATGCTTTCCATGACATGTACAGCAAGTATTATCTAATGGGTAAGAATATGAGCTGGGAAGCACCCAGTCAAAATCCAGCTTCTGCCATGAGCTCACTAGGTAGTCTTTTGAATGCTCATAACCTTTGGCCTGGGCCCCATGTGTGCCGTATCTCATTGAACAAGCTTTGGCCTTGTACTACCCCTCTTCCCTTCCCTTTCACGTGGGATTAGTTCCCATTTACAGTTTGCTATGTCATCCAAAAGTGGCTGTTATTTGGGCAAGCCATGGACTGTCCACAGGCTAGCCAGGTTTGATGTCTGAAGGAGACATGTCTGGACACCTTCCAAAGGCCCAAACCTGCAAGACTGACTTAAGAACAGCGTCTTCATTGCAAAGTGCTTGCTCACCACCTCTTGCTCAGGCCCAGCCGGTTAGTAGTGGCGGGCAGACCTGGTAGATGCCCATTTGCTTGCTCTCTGCCTGTCCAGCAACAAGCACAGGTTAGCAATGATGAGAAAGAGTGAGAGAAAATGCAATAATAGTTGGTGATAATGGCAAGGAGAAGAGCAGTTTTGCCCAAGGACCCACAAAAACACCGAGCTGGCACTGGCAGGGTGCTTGACTATGGTGTGCCGTAAATGAAAGCAGAAAGATCTCATCACCTTCCATTCCCTTGCACACGAAGGAAAGGGAGAAAGAAGTACAAATGTCTGGGACTTGCTGTTGCTTGTTCCAGCAACTGCAAATCATGGATTGCCAGTTGAGCCAGCTGGTATGTGAATTGCTTTGAACTCCTAAAAGGTGCTTATTTAAATTCAAAATACATATTATCACTAAGTAGAAATATCACCATTTGAATGCTTTTGGGGGTGCAAACAATGAATGCATGGCTTCCATCTGATGAATATGAGAGCTGACACATTTTACATCCTAAGACCAATGTGTACTTAAAACAAAGATCACAAAATCTAAAAAAAATCTTTTTAATTTAGCTTCTGAGATCCCAGCATACACAGATGGCAATTTGCCAAGGTTATTTTCTGTAATACTGCTAACACCTTTTCTTAATCAATGGCAATACTAAAAGGTGCCCTTGTGTAAACAGGTGATATTCTCTCTAAAAATAATAGGTAATAGGCATTAGTACCTGTTTTTCTGCAACTGTGTATGTGCACATGTGCATGACAGTGCAGGAAGTTTTCTTCCCCAACATTTTTATAAAAATCATGGTAAACTGCTTTTTCTGGATTTCTGTAAGCACCTGCAAAATATATGATGTGATGTAAAGCAGGTCTGTGCTTTAAAAAAATAAAAATGGAGTACGTTATGTAAATTAAGTCAAAGCTTTTGCTCCTTTTACATAAATTCTATTACTGCTAGTAAGGGGAAAAAAACCACTAGTTACACAGGGCATTGCAGAGGCTTGTTCTCTGGCCAATAGAATCCCTGCTTAATACAATGCTCTCATCTGGAGAATTCAACCAGGCATGTTTCTGACTTATTTCTGTAGTCCTGAGGACTAGAAACTCAAGAAATTAAAACAGGAATAACAAATATTTTTAGGGTGCTGAATTCTGTTTTGAACAGGATTTGTGAAACACTCAGACTCCCATGTTCCAACATCTCCTTACAGGGCACAGATTAGTGCAGGGAAGAGGGATGAATTCAGGACTGTGATTTGCACAAATGCATACCCAGCAAAGGTGGTGCATCAGTTGGAGAACGTGCAAGGGGGTGCAAATGGAACTCTCTATCCATTACATTGCACACACTTGTGCCAACAGAGATGGGAGCACATCTGTGACTGGTGCAGTTACGTTTCTTAGTCTAAGTACATAATACAAATCAGAAGGCAGGTCCCTTTTCCTATCCATCCCGGTGGATTCTCTGGTGCTGCAGTAGGTTTGAAGGATGTGCAAAGCCCTTCTGACATATGGGGCACTTGTAAGGAGTGTCGCCTGTATGCACCTTCTCATGCACCGCCAGGTAGGCCAAGTCCTTGAAGAGCTTGCCGCAGTGTCGGCACCGGTGGGGCCGGTCACTGCTGTGGACGCGCTGGTGCTGCAGGAGCAGGGAGGGCCGTGCAAAGGCCTTGCTGCAGGCTCCGCAGGCATAGGGCCGCTCACCGGTATGCGAGCGTGCATGGATAGCCAGGTATGACGACTGCTTGAAGGCCTTGCCGCACGTGGGGCATGCAAAGGGACGCTCCCCCGTGTGCACTCGCTCGTGCGAGGCCAAGGCGTTTGACTGCTTGAAGGCCTTGCCACAAAGGGCACAGGAGAACGGCCGGTCCCCTGTGTGCACCCGCTCGTGGACGCGCAGGCTGTGTCCGTAGGCGAAGCGCTTGCCGCAGACGCCGCAGACGTGGGGCTTGTCGTCGCAGTGCTGCCGCTGGTGCAGCAGGAGGGCTCCTGCCGCCGCAAAGCCCTTCCCGCAGGCGGCGCAGGCAAAGGGCCTCTCAGCGCAGTGCGTCAGCATGTGCCGCTGCAGCTCGTAGGGGGTCTTGAAGCGCTTGGTGCAGGCAGCGCAGCGGTGCGGCCGCTCCCCCGAGTGGATGCGGCGGTGCTCGGCCAGGTTGGATGCCCGCTTGAACCGCTTGCCACAGAGCTCGCAGCGATGGGGCCGCTCTTCCGTGTGCACGAGGGCGTGGCTCTTGAAGTCCGAGTGGCGCTTGAACGAGGCCTGGGGGGAGGCAGGACAGAAAGCAACACAGAGAGGCACTGAACAAGCACCAGAGATCACCTGCAGGACAGAGAGACACAAGTGCCAGTGCTTGCTCTGCTCCTCCGCAGAAAGTACCCTGGCTTTTTATGCATCAGATGGATATGGCAATGCGAAGGGGCATGCCTGTCTCCCATATTTTTCATAGAGCTTAATGAGAGAATAGCCTTGCTTCCTTAAGAAACAGGGATGGCTCTGGGAGGACTGATGGCTCTTCATTGCTAGTGGAACAACTTGGGACCAGGAGGGCTGGTGCTCACTAGTTACTAGTACCTGGCCAGCCTGGGACCAGGACACCAGACAAGGCAGCTTCTCTTCTATCAACCTGCCTGGTCACTGAGGCCCACAGAGAGAATGCTCCTGATGGTTCCACGCGGATCAGTGGTGAGTTGGAGAGGCTCCCATGAAGCTGCTCCATTTCTAAGGAATTCCCTGCCTCTGGAAGTCAGGCAGACTTCAATCATGTATTGTTTGAGGGACATCTTTATTTCAGGAAGCAATGCTGCTACTGATACCCTGTTTTTAATATATTTGATCTTTTACTGTTTTACCTTTTTATTGCTCACCCCAGGTAAGGAACAGTACATAAAACTTGTAAAATAAATAAATAAAAATGAGCAGCTAGGAAAGTATGGGTATGTGATTGTGCATGGAAGGATTCTAAGGTACATGGGACAGGAAGAATATTTTATATAAGTCCTCCAAATTTTCCTTTTCTGTAGGTCTCCTTCCAGATGTTGTGGGACCACAATAACATGAGAGCTAGGACTGATGGGGGATGCAGTCTGCCAAAATCTGGGGGGCCACATGTTTCTCACCATACCTGCCAGGTGGAGCATGGATGATGAATTCGAGCAGTTTTTAATGTAGCCTACAAAGGGGGTACAACACCATTTAGCTGCCAAGCTGTGGTGGAGCTCTAAGGACAGGCTGGATGTTCCTGCGACTGGGTTGGGAAGGCAGTTGTGGCTTCAAGGAACACCACAGTCTGCTTTCCCGTGCTCAGTATATACACAGAGAAACATATTAAGGAACTCCCTCCTCCCACAGAAAAGGACCTTGGAAAAGGCTTTCTAGCCCTGAAGCTTTTTTTGTTTTTCAGCACAGTGAAAACAGGCAGCATGAAATACCACATCTGGTTCCTCCCAGCTGTGGAAATCTCTGCCTCAGAAAAGTTGGATCATTCCAAAGGCGCATCACAGGAAACCATGTTTGGCTCTGGGTTTTTTTTCCATCCAAATGTCTCGCCTCCACCACCTTCCCCCAGCGTTTATGGTTACAAACCACAGCATGCTTCCTGCCAGCTTTCGCCCCCTCACCTGGCATAGCTGGCAGCAGAAGGGGCGTTCCTCATTATGCACCACCTCATGGCTGAAGAGCTCCCACGCCCGTTTGAAAGCCTTAGTGCAGACAGCACACTGAAAGGGCTTCTCGTCCACGATCACCTGCCGGATCTCAAACTCCTCCCCACTGCTGCAGTCCAAATGCCGCTGCGGGCATGGCGAGCGGGCTGCCTCTGTGGCAGGCACCAGCTTGGCTGAGGAATACACCCCACGCTCATCTATCAGCTGCACAATGTCATCTGAGCAAGGCGTTCTAGCGTCCAACCTCTCCTGTGCCTCCTGACCATTCTCCTTAAGTCCCTTCTTCTTGCATGCATCCTGCAGCACTAGGTGGCTCCCATGGGAAGGCTTTGCTTCTCCTGCACTAGCCCCACGCTTCTCCGTGTCTTCAGCTGCAAGCCCTGGCTTCCTGTACTGCCGGGGCTTGTGATGGGAAAGCCAAAACAGATGCAATTCTGCCTCCCTTTCCTCAGTCCCAGGAGTGGCATTGGCAACGTCCTTGCCTTGGCGAGACCCACAGAGAAAGGGGGTCTTGTGAGAGTGGCCTGGAGAGCTTCTGCCACAGTCCAGCTCCTTCTCACCATCACTCCAGTCCTCCAGGGATACCGGCAGCTCAGATCGCACAGAGCCGTTCCTGGGCAAGTGTCTTGGTGAGAAATCCAACTCATTTGTGGAAGAAGGAATATCCGTCATAATGGGGACTGGCACTTTTGCTAAGACGGCCATCTACAAGTAATAGCAAAAATAAGTTATTTATCTTGTGCAGTTTGCATATGTTTCCAGTAATCCTTGCAACACTTTTCTGCAACTTAAGTAACTTTTGTTCTTTTCAGTACACCAAACAGAAGATAAGCGGCCCCTGAAAAGGAAACTAGCATTTCTGAAACTCACTGGGCAACAATAAAAGGTTGTCTATAGGCACTTGGGGCTTCTTATTTTATTACCTTCCAACTGGTTCTCTTGCTTACATGTGCCATCTCTTCTTGCTTCATTGTCATTAATTTTATAACCACACTGAAGTTAAGAGGCCAGAGTAGAAATGGACTTGTCAAAATGAAGGAGGAAAAGTGCTTGCAGCTCTGTCCAGATCTGAGCTGCCAGCTCACCCTTGCCGTCACTTTAAACACCAATTCAAGAAGACAGCATTCCTCCCAGCTTGGCCATCTTTGCCCTGCAAGCAGGACCCTGTCCTGTGAGGGCACTGGAACTCAGTGCATCTCTCCATGCTGGGGGTGAATTTGGATGCTAATGAGTTCCTCAAGGGGTCCTGCAGAAGCTGCTCTGACAGTGATAAATGTGGGTAATGTTGCACTTGCTAATGAAGGGCCGTTTCAGAAGCTCTTTCTGATGGACTAACTTCTGTCACTTCAATAGAAAGCATTCAGCTTAACAGGCACTTTTACCAAATGCTGCAAATACATATGTCCCTTGTTCCATGTGCAGAGTGCAAGTGCTAGAAAAACAGACACTTAAGGCTTAGCAGTGCAAAAATATACTTGTCCAATCATCAGATGATGATTTAACACTGATGACATCATGTTTCCTATCCAGAAAAGGTTCGCATGCAAATGTTTTTTTTTCCATTTCCTAACCCATTAAATGAATGCCTGAGAGTTGTTATATTCTGTAACTTGGATCTACATAACTTTGTGCTCTTCACCCACACAATTTGATTTCCTGGGCTACTTGGTGATGCTAAGAAAGTTTGAACCCTGGGCTTAGAAAAATATACTGGGGGTAGTGGTAGAATTGGGCAAGAAGGTCTTATTGCCAACTGTAATTATTAACTATTGGGTTACAGAAAAAGGAGTTGATCACACATGCCTTGTGGTTGCACTGATAATTTTTCAGATCAGCTGGACCCCAAGTGCTTGGAATCAAGCTTGGCTGAGAACTTTACATCTCAGATATGCTGAAATTCAGTGATTTGGGGAAATGATGCTCTTTGTTAATGCTTTCCCTTTGCAAGCTCAAAGGCTTGTATTCCTAATAGGTTGTGGAGCAGCACCATAAATAAAATTTCCCTATTTTCAAAAATATTATATAACCTAGCTGTTGTAAAGTGGGGGCAGGGACAGGGAATGAATAAAGCAGTGCTACTATTCATATCCAAAATGATGGGAGACATTTATCTTTCTCCAGTACTAGGACCCAGGTCATGCTCTGAAGCTCAGTGGTGAGAAATTCAAAGTGGCTGAAAGGAAGTAGTTCTTTAATAGAGCACACAGTTAAATGCTGCAACTTGCAACCACAAAAAAAGGGAATTAGACAAATGGATGGGTACTACTGCTCTTGTGTCCTACTTGTGGTTGCCCCTAAGCATCTGGTGACCACTGAGTGAATGCATCTTTGTTCTGATCCAGCAGGGCTCCCCTCATATTCCTGTGTTGTCTCAGAAAAAAAAGTTCTGTCCCTTTTTAAAATATTTATCTCAATGCAGCTCTCTGTTTAGACCAGCCTTCCCCAACCTGGTGGCCTTCCGGGAGCTGTAGGCCAAATGCCTCTGAATTCCCATCCAGCAGGGCCATGGACTGGGAATTCTGGGTGGTGCAGTCCAATGTGTCTGGAAGGCACAAGGTATTTCCTAAACAATAAGGTATGTTGTTTAGCTGCCTTGTGGACTTTCAGTAGAAACTAATCCAGCAAGAAAATATACTGACATTTTATTGGTCTCCTCAACTAATTGTAAAAATAGAAATAAACATTCAAATACAGCTGGATAAGTCAAGCATAGGAAGCAACATAAAGACATGAAATGTGTATTAACACATACACTGTATAATCCGTACTTCAGAGCAGCCTTCCACAATGCGGGGCTCTCCATGTGTTTTGGATTTTGGCTCCCATCAGCTATAATCCACACAGACAAGAGTCAGGAAGGCAGAGGACAGCCTGCTGGACAAGGCTACTTAGCAGAGATGCTGTAGGAAAAATTGTAGTAACCTGGGCAAATAACATATAGGGCGTCTTCTTCAAGGATCTTGCCCTAAAGGCATAGAAATCCAAATCTGCCCCCACTCTGCACAAACGAGTGAGAGCAAGAGATGCTGAAATTGGCCCAGCAGGAGAAGGCACAGCAAACAGCACACTTCAAATAATATTTGGAAGGAGGCAAATAATATTCAAGCTTGCTTTCCCCCTCTTCCCTTGTTTACTTTCGATTGTAAGCCTCTGGGCAGAGCATGTAGTATGCATTGATCTTTGTAAGCTGCTCTGAGACTCTTTGGCAGGACTGGAGCATAAATGCTTTACATAAAGAAGTGAGAGCCACTTGGAAGTATGTGAATAAATATTCATAGCAGACAGAAACTCTCCTGTTCAGCATATGGCAATCTGCTACTTCTATTTATTTGTAAAATGTCATTCACCCTCCCCAGCTCTCTTCTCTTTTTATTTTCAAGGCAAGGAAACTGTAGGGCAAATCGGTAATATGTGTTGCTGGAATGGGTTGATGCAGACATGAAGACTATATATTTCCTGCACCTTAACAACAGCCTTCCCCGACCTGGTGTTCTCCAGATGTGCTGGACTACATCTCCCAGCATCCCCCAGCCAGCCAAAACCCGTTTGAATCAAGGGTGAATAAGAAAAAGGGACAGAATGTGAGTGGTGGGCCATCGCAGTTATGCTCCAGCATTAATAAAAATACAGGAATTGTGCACCCTATTCAGAGAAGGAGGCCTTTGCTGCCCCTCCAAGGAAGGACGGGCTATTGCTAGAGAGAGGGGGCCATTGACAGCTGCCCAGCTTCGGCCCCGCACCTAGGAGCACCCTGTCGCTGGCGCTGCATTCCTCCTAGGGGCCAAGGAGGGGATGCAGCCCGTCCCCAGGCCGCCAAGGGCGGTGGTGGGGGGAGCATTTGCAGTGACTCACCCTGCAGCCGCCTCTGCCTCCTCCTCCTCTCCTCCTCCTCCTCCACCCCTCCTTCCACGCCGGCTCCGCTTTGCAGCCCCCACCCCCCTCGCGCGCATCCTCCTGCACCCCTCCTCTTCCTCTCTGCAGACCCGGCAGCACTTCCCCGGACCCCTTGTCAACACGCCCCCCTCCCCTCTCCTATTTTGCCTCAACCGCGCATGCACCGTCTGCCTCTCCAGCCCCGCCGTCCCAGTCCGCTCACTCCTTGACCGCGGCCTCGAGCTGCGTGTCTGTAGGTGACGACCAAGTTCTCCTGCTCCTCTTCCCATTTACCTGCTGCCTATTGATGATCATTAAGCGTAGAGGGGAGGAGCAAGGATGCGTTTGTATCAAAGCTGCTACAGGTTGCTAGCCAATCGTTTGTCTCAACCCCCCTCCCCCACTCGAATCAATGTGTGGGGTGACATACGGGCGCGATCCTGTACCAGTTGAGGCAGAAAGAGCCCTACAACTCGCAGTAATTCCATGGCCAGCAGAAATCCGGCAGCTCCGAGCATTCCCCTGCACTTATTGCAACTTCCAAGCACCCCCGACATGAGTAGGACTGCGCCCTCAGACGCTTACACTTATAGTATGTCTGTGTTTCGATCGAGTTACCAGGAAATACGTACTCAATATTTAAAAGAAATCCGTTGAAGTCAGTGCAAATTAAGGTAGTCCTAACATCGCCACCAAACAAAGGATGTAATTGACTTCAGTAGGTCTTCTCTAAGTATGACTAGAGGTCTGGATCCAACCTATCAAGTCTTTTTGGCAAGTAGAATGTAAAGAAAAGTAAAATCACAATTTGAGAACAAATCCACACAAATTAACTAGCATTGGCTGCATACAGAGATGGCTACTGAAGTGGCAGGAAAAAACTTTTAGCTGTAAAATGTTCTACTAATTTTTCTTTTTAAAGAACCAATTCTTAGGGATCTGATTTGGAAACAAAGGTAAATTAAAGTTGCCACATTTTCATGTTTTATGGATGATTCATTCACAGAATTATTAAAAAAAAGAACCCATAAAGGGTGTGTGTGAGTGTGATTCTCTATATTGCTGTGAAGACACATTCTCATTTGAACTTACCGATATCCACACAGCTTTCATTTTTTAAAGTGTGTTGTCAACTCAGCAGGAAAAAATGGCCTGGTCTGCTCCTGTGCTTTTAAATCATCCTGAAGCTTTTCAACTGTATATAAAGAAGGTAGTTATTAAAGGCATAAGAGCAGGTAGAACTGGTAACTTGGCTACTCCTGTCTGAGGAAACACAGATCCTGTACCAACTTGTAGAAATACAATGCATATCTCCATTTATAGAACAAAAGTGGTTAAATAGAATGATAAAGTGTTAATTGATCTCTCTCCAAGTTAATACAGAAAGAATCAACTACTGTGGCATGTGGCTAAATTGGGGTTTTCATGGGCCCTTTGACGTCATAACTCTGGCCTTGCTGATGAGGTAGGTCACTGAACTATGCACATTTCCAGTGGTCCAGGCTAAGCAAAGCAGCTTTCTCATTCCTCAGGAAGCATTTCTTTGTGGATCAGAGGCTCCATACTGAAGTCCATGCACATTTAATTAAATTAATGTTTAAAAGATTTATATACTGTTCTATGTATTGCATTTTTTCCTTTTTATATCCCATTGTGAACTGCCCAGTGCGCTTCAGCTATGGGTGAAAAATGTAAATAATAATTGTGGATCAAAGGTTGCATGCACCTGTAATGGCAGAATACAGAGATGGACTGGTCTACCCTGTCCTGATTCTACTCTGATACAAGCAAACAACATA